CCGGATGAGCAGCTGAAATCACTTGACCTGTTCAAGATTGTCATTATGGATACAAGAGACGAAAAAAGCATCATGGAAGCAGCTCATCAACTCGAGGGACAGACCATCGATGTTGTCATCAACAATGCCGGTATTAATCTTCCCTGTGTGCTTGATACCGGCACAAAGGACGTTTTGATGCGCCAGTTCGAGGTGAACGCTGTTGGACCTTTCCTCGTAACACGCGCGCTGCTGCCCAATCTCCAGCTTGCTGTAAAGTTTCGTGGCTTCGCTTTCGTTGTGCAGATATCCTCCTACGTAGGGAGCATCGGGAGTCTCACAAAGAAAACCGCGACTTCGTTGGAGGGTAGTCTGTATGGGTACGGCACTTCCAAGGCAGCTCTCAACATGATCACACGATCACTTGCATTTGACCTTCAATCTAGAAACATCGTTGTTGTGTCAGTCCACCCTGGGTACGTGGACACGGACATGACCCAAGGCGATGCCACGCTCAAGCCAGAGGAGTCCGTGGCTGCCATGGCTGATCTCATAGGTAAGCTAAATCCTAAGAGCACGGGCAAGTTCTTCAACCTGTACAAGAAGATCCCCGCTACGACACTACCCTGGTGAATGACATCTTGATATGAGTTCGTGTCTTGCTCAATTTGCTACAATACACAGGGATTTAAAACATTATTTTAGATGCAGAAAACTGTTTTTTACTGCTAGTTTAGAGGCGATCGTGACCGGTGTTGCCTGACGAATAGAAACAAGTGAAGTCGAGGTAAAATGCGGGGTGGGGTGGACATTCTACATTATCGTATCACGCTCAGATAACACCCCAGATCCGAAAGGGGCCGATATTTGGTGGCGAAACTCAAGCACGAAAGTTTTAGATGAGACTAATCAGCTGAGATCTTGAAACTATGAGGAATCTAAAGCTAAGGTGCCACCAATTGCCAAGTCATTGGGCGAAGCCCTTTATGGTAGGGTTACATCAGCGTTTTAGGTGTCCCTGAGTTTAATTGCGTGCCAACCTATCGCTTTCGCTGCGCTGCGACACTGACGCGATTCCAAAAAGTAAGGACCGACTTGTGATTGGACGTGGTGTCCCATGACGTTAAAGGCATGTGAGAGATGGGTTTTACTTCAATACTTTAATGCATGGCTGTTCGTACTTGACAACATCCTATCCCCCCATCTGGGATTAGAAAGCACATGTAGGGGTAGCTAGGCTGGATTTGTTGTTATTAAGGTGACGAGGTTGCTGCAGTAAATGGTTTCGACGATATTTAGCGTGGTTAGAACGGAAAGGCGAGAAAAGACCGACACGTTAAAGTCGGGGAGTTTATTTCTTTAATTAAACTCAAAACCGAACGCCCTTTCAAAAAATCGTTAGCGTGTTTTTGGACTCGAGCAGGATGACACTTGTGCAGACTACCTTCGGGATACGGCGCACATGCTTCAGCTAGCGTGACACCTCGTGATTGGGCGGAAACTCATAGCTTTTGCTGAGGGAACTGGCAAGCTCACGACGAGTTCGCAGGTAGCGATGGCGAAAACTGAAGCTAAAAAAGCAATTTAATTATATTTTTTAATTCTTATCGGAACACATTTCTCGCCTTTTAAGGTTGCTGGGTAAAGAATAGTAGGAAGCAGTCTCTAAAAAGGAAAATTTTCGCTCTTTTACAACTATCAACTGATTTGGTACAACAAGTCGTATACAGGACGATATGTAAACATCTACGACACAATTTAATCAAGTGCTACTCTAGTAGCTGATTGCATAGAGATTAGAGAGGTTTTGCAGTCAGGTTTTCCATTCCCATTCCCTCAAACTGCTCCACATTGTTTCTTAAGCGATACATTAAACAGAGCTCTGTGGAATATTTACTATGGAAAACAAAAATCTGAGGCAGACTTTCCACACACGGTTGGTCGGCAACCAAGCCTTCATTCCCTCTTCACAACACAACTGCGTGCGAAAGTATAAGCAACGAAAAGCGTATGAACTACTCTGAAGAAGAAGACGTGATGCTGCTGCGCAAGATCCTCGGAGATCGGCCTTTTCTCGCCCAGCGAGGCAAAATTATTGGCGCGTGGGATGCTTTCGCTGCCAAGCTGGTAGCAGACGACTCGTTCCCGAGGATCAAGTTGAGTGATAAGAATGGCAGACTCGTTTTGAAAAGCTTGTCAAGACGAGACGGAATAAGGACGAGGAGAACATGGCAAACTCGGGTGTTTCGGAGGCGAAGAGCGAGAGGGATTTGCGGCTCAAAGGAATTGATCGAGCTCGTCGACGACCACACAATGATTCGGTGTGCGCTGCGAAAGGAGCTGACACACTTAAACGCCAACAGGAGGAGAAAGCGTCTGCGACGGCCGGGCGCCTCGTAATGGAGAAGCTGGGAAAAACGCGAGAGCGGTCACCGCCAGGAAAGCGGCTGAAACGGGAGGAACTGCTGAAGGACATGCTACTAGAACTGAAGGAGAAAGAGCTGCAAGACAAAAGAGATCCCAGGGAGCTTATGGCTGCACAGCGAGAAGAGGATCGAGCCCACAAGTTCGCTGTAGTTCAGGCCGTGTCGAGCATCGTAGATTTAATTAGGCTGCGTAAGAATAATTAAACTATCGGGTTTGGCAAGATACGGGTGTAAGGCTGCAAAATCCCCGTCTATATTCGTCACCTCCACTCCCACACCCAGATGCTGTTGTAGGAACAGAAAACGATGCGAAACCTCTTTCTCTATTGTAATTTCAATGATTGGTTACAAGAGATACCGAAAGGAGTACCTTGAAATGGTAATAGGGAGAGAAATGCATCCTTTTAGAAGCAAATGACGTAGTCTTCTATAGTATTCTTTAGGCAATAGGCTCGCGAAAGGGAGCTGCGATATGGAGATGAACGACATGGGTAGTAAAGGCAAATACTTTCCCGAGTGAAAACGGTGGCTACTGTATTGGACACGGTCGACGCTGTTTTGCTCTATAGTTGCAGACGAACTGCAGTTTGACGAATCGTCAATGACTTTCCAACTGAGGAGAATGCGCGGGCGTCGCGTCGCACAGATCAGTTCTGTGCCCCACCCTGATGGCTAGGTCGACATCGATGATCGATTCTGTCGCAAGTATTAAAGGTTCGCCTGCGGAGCCGAGGCATAGTTGTCCTCATAACGGGATGAAACGTCGAAGCTAAGGCTTCTTGTGTCGACGCAAAGATTGTCAAGACTGGAGGACGCTTCGATGGTGGATGCCTCGGACTGCGGTGAGGGAAGAGATATGTCATGCATGTGGACGTACCCAAAGAAGTGATGGTGCACAGTCCTGATGAAGAAGACGACGGCCGGAGTGAATCCGTGTAATAGGTAAGTTGCTCAACCGTTAATTAACCTAGAAACACCAAGTTGGTAATAGAGGTCTTTAGCAAAACCGAAGAAAACGCATTTTCCAGTTCAATCATATGACTTTTCACCTAACCATAACCGCACAGTCCAATCTTCCAGTCCAACAATTCAATTCATACCGAACAAAACAGCGCTTTTTTACGGTATAGAGTGATCAAATTCCAGTTGGAGTGTTGTAACTAAAATCACTCCTCTCATAGCGTCAATCCTCTTTCTAACATCGAATGTCAAAGGTTTTACAGATTCGACAATGCTGAGCTGTGCATTTTGGTGGACATCATGCAGATCCCGGAAGTGATAACACGTGAGCGAACGAATGCCACAGCGATGGAGACTCTGTGCATTATTCTCTACAAGCTATTCGTTCCCGTACGTTGGTACGCCATTGAAGACTTCTTTAGTCGATCGTCGTGCGGTCTCTCAAACATTTTCTTGCACATGTTAAAGCTTCTCGATGTTCAGTACTCTGACTTGCTCCAATTGAATCGATCTGTTGTCACTAAAAGACTAGACGTCTAGGAGGCTTGACACCAAAGTAATCCCTTGCAGGGTTACCACCCCGGAAGCAGGTAAATGCAGTTCGTCATTAATACACCGACACGATACATGGTTCCAACCGGCTGACAGCCGACGCATACTTGATTTTGCATCAAGAGCTTTCCAGTAATTAACGGATGTCGTGGTTATTCTTCGAAGCAATCCGAAAACCATCTTCCGATAAACTTAATAGCAATTTGCTTGAACCTGCAGTTGCCATGGCCGTTGCTCCTCCAACCCGGATAGAGTACGAGAAGTACTTTTCTGTGGGCACACCTATCTTCTTAGCCGTCAACTCGATGGCCCGAACAACTGACTGCGACGTGAGACCAGCGCAAAGATGGAGGTCTGCCTCTTGATGTAGTTGTTTCCTTGCTTGAAGCACATGTGGAAGACCTTCGACGGAGCACAGTAACTTTTTCCCGGAAGAATTCATTGTTCGCCATGACCCACGCCCGTTGGTAATTTTTGGCCCCTTCTAGGCCAATAGTGACTGGTGTAGCTTGCTTGTAACTCGTTCGTTTGCCATTGTCATCGGAGAAGAAAGCGTTTCTTGTCTTGAGGCAGTAGAAGTGATAGATGTTTCCAATCTTGAGAAACTCTGACCTCCGGAGTAGGAAGAAATAGCCGATAAGCAGACTGCCCCATAATAAACGTTGTCGTGGCCGACGAAGGTCAAGTGAACGGTGAAGCAACCGTAGAAATGATAGCGTAAGTGGCTGTTATTTCCGATGTGGAGATGACGCTTAATTCCGGCAAGTAACACTTCTATTCGAGGGCTGTTGGGCAGGACGAAGTTCCTGAATCGCCGATGGAACCAACGGATGCCTGATAATTTCAGCAGAATTGTACTGTATTGGTTGCCGCGATTGATCGAATTCCAGCCTTGAGCCCATAGTTGCGTTGCAAAATATTCGAGACGATGCGAAGTGTTCGTGGGAGACAGCAACCGGGACCACATCATTTGTTGTGCGAATGCACACCACTGCCGCCAATATTGATGATACTTGGTAATGGTAGAGCTTGCCACGGCGTTTCTGTGTAATATTGAGCCCAAATGTTTGAGCGATCGGTAAACGGGGATTCTAGGGGAATCTATGTCCAACACGACGATAAATTAGACCAGATCAAATATTGTGAGTGCGTGGAGCACGTGATCCAGCATCAGCCATAACTTTTCCGGGGATATGCGTTGCCGAGAACGAAGTGTTGTACTGGAACCCCCGCTGGTGACAACAGTCTGTTGTACATCTGCGCATCTGGGTGCCGACTTGTACGGCAATTTGTCCAACTAACGGCGCTTGTATTACCAATGTGCAACGTGACGTGAACGCGGTTCTTTGTATTTGATGAGCCCGCCCAAAATGGTCCCCAGTGTAAAGTGGCAAGGACTGCACTCCGCATTTCTCTGATGTTGATTGATAACTCCACAGCTTCAAGTTCTGCAAACCTTTGTCGGATATTCTCCTTCCATGTAGGTTCCAGCACATATAATCCTTCACCACTGGTATCCATAAAGACGTCACTCGTTGGCACGGCGACAGAGGCGAGGTCTCCCACAGGGATTTGGTTGAAATATCCTGGGTATTGTAAAACGGAACGGAACCAATGAAAATCGTCTAATGCCTGCGCCGATAGTCGTTGAGGCCGGAATCGCGGAAACGTGGAAGCTGTACTCTGGAGTGCCTGCAAGAAGGCGCGAGCAGGTGTAGAACAACTGGCCACGTGGCGAAGGCTTCCGTTCGTCTCCAAGATGGCTGTTTTAGAGGTTGAAACCGAATTGATCAGGTTGCTGACTCGACCGAGAGCCTTTTCGATTTTATCTGGTGGAATTGACACGAATCCCGCTTCGGTGTCCCATAGTAGACCAAGTGCTTTGCACTTAGTGGACCTAACTGTGAAATTCCTTTCGTTGATAGCTGTAGGTCCTAAGACCGTTGCCATAGCGCGACGAAGCGAAATATTTGCGTCATAACAGCGATGACCAGAGTCGACTTCGACACAGGTGTGGACATCGCACCACACGTTGCCAACGAATTGCCGGTTCAACCGATTTTCATACTCATAGAGGTGGTTGATGATAGTAATAAAACGCAGGAGATCCTCACCAACCAAATCCGCATGATAAATCGATAATTAGCAGTTGATCGAAGCAGAACGCGAACATGTGAACTGCACTAGCAGGAACTGGTAAGTGTCCGAACGCACCTGAAACATCGCCAAGCATGATCAGCACATCGAGATGAGGATGCGAATGCTTCAGACCATGGATACGCTTAGTAATATCCCGAGGTGGATTGTACGAGATAGGAGGGAAATTTCCTCTATCCGAGTAATTGTTCACCGATTTTCCTTCCGGAAACGAATAATCGTTGATCAAACTAGTGTCTACCAGCCGTGTCTACCGTTTCGATTGGAATGATAAGACCTCGGGCCACTTCGTTAGAAGATGTGAATCGACAATAAAATGTCGTCCTCCGAGTTGACTCGCCCGTAGATAGCGGCAAATTTGAGCTTCTCTGCACACAGTACTGCGATGATTAGGTCGTACGTGTTGTGTTGGTGGATCTGATGTAGTCCTCAAAAGCGAAACACCGTGCATCACTATTTCATTCCAATGAGCGACAATCGGGGTAATTAATTAGTCAACGGGCGGAGGTATCGGGAAAAGGTCCTTGTTTGGACGCGGATCGTCAGTCGTTTGGCCTCTTAGTAGACGGACGGCATCAGGAAGTCATACCCTTGTTGTTCACACAAATCGGTCCAAAACTGGCCTTGAGCAATATCAATGTACTCCTTATCCGTTTGATCAGTAATTGGAAGGTGGATATTCGCAAAACTGGCATACCGATGGCAGTGTTCACGGGAACTGCGTCGATTTTGCTCGCGCACACGATTCAGTGTACCGACCGAGTAGGCTTGTGACGTGGTGGTCATCTGGCCAATGTCATGGCAGTGACCAGCCACGCCAATTATTTGAGTTCAGCTGGTCAGATTATTCTGGTCGGCGTAAACTTCAAATTGCGTGTCTTTACATCAGTCTACAATCCTATTGGTCCAAAATCACATGGATTTGTAACAATCAAGTTTCCATCCGGAAATTGTGATTATGGGACACTGTGCGAAATTTCCGACCAAGATAAGATTAGGATTCGTAGGTTTTCATTGGTAGCTACAGAGAAAACAGGATTTGAGAAAGATAGTTTTTAGGATGGGACCTGGATACGTGCGTGACTATCCAGTTGCCAAGAACCACTGGTTGTGCGGCACCTACTAGCTTGCCGCCGCCAACTCTAACTGATTAATCACTTCTCAATTTGCCTCTTCTGTTCAACTCGACTTTCAAGCAAGCCCTCGACTGCAGCGCTGCCGCTGCCCCTTCGACTCCGCCTCCGACTCGCCATCGCCTCCGACCTCGACTCTCTTCATCAAGGCCACCAACGACTGCTTCCTCCGTTTGGCAGGCCCAAGATCGTCACAAGGCTGCCGCCTCGCTGTACGCCGTCTCATCGGTGAATCAAGGCGCACGACGCCGCGATCTTGCAGAATTCCAATAGGGTAGCTGTTGCTTGATGCAGACATCGCTATAAAGATCACGGGGTAGCTTCGAACGAGGGGTTTTACAAAATCGATGTGCTGGCGTCGCAGGTGCACCAACTGCAGCGATGTTGGATTTACCAGTGGTACGACAACATCACCATCGAGAGCAAAGCCATTGAAGACAATATTTCGGCTGGAATCCCCGACTTCTTCTTGTTGCAGGCTGCTACAGTTTCATTCTGCTGGTGCAGTAGCTCAAGAGGACCGCCGGATGTTGCGTTGACGCCTCCTCCTGCCTGTAGGGCGTAATTCAGTGGATCCACTTTAATTGCGGAGTAGGGACCAGTCAGAGGTGGTTGGACAGGACCATTCGAGCGTACTATATGGAGCGTAGCTGTTGGGTCAGACGAGGTATAACCTGACACAATGCCATAGGCCCCTAAGTCAACGCCTTCTCCCGTTGTGCGAATGTATGCCACTGGGTGAGCTACATAGGAACCTGGCCATAAACGTCGCACCAATTCCGATACAGTACGGAACTCGATCACGTTGGACGGTACGTCCACAGTCTCCCTAGGGACGTAGTCTTCTGGGCCAACCGTCTGGACAGTAGGGATGCCCTCCGAGATAGACAGCACATCAACGTAGCGGAACTCGGTGAGTTTCTTAACGTGCACAGAGCCCAGGAAGGCGAGTATACGGCGGTTGATGGCCATTGTTGAAACCAGAAACGGGTCGCTTGAATAGGATAAGAGTCGAACTTCGTAGGGAGATTGAAATTTCCAAAATGAGACTACTATGTAGCTGTGCCCCACCGGCTACGCTATTTCGAGTTGCACTGTTGCAGCATGCGACGGCATCGTTCACAGAATGACATTCTTGGTTTCGCCTCCAGTCTTGACGTAACTCCTTCTTGCTGCTGGAAATAGGAGTACCCAGTCTAAGCGGATACGTCCACTTTCCGGTTTTTTTTT